GGTGGTGGGCCTGGCATGGTGGTTTAGTGGGTAAGATCCTTGCCTTGAATGCACCGGGATCCCATATGGGCGCCGGTTCTAATCCTGGCAGCTCCACTTCCCATCCAGCTCTCTGCTTGTGGCCTGGGAAAGCAGTCGAGTACGGCCCAAAGCCTTGGGATCCTGCACCCGCATGGGAGACCTGGAGGAAAGTTCCTGGCTCCAGGCTTCAGATTGGCTCAGCACCAGCCATTGTGTTCACTTGGGGAGTGAATTATCAGATGGAAAATCTTCCTCTCTGTCTCTCCTCCTCTCTGTATATCTGCCTTTCCAATAAAAATAAATAAAAAGGGTGCAGGATCCCAAGGATTTGGGCCATCCTCAATTGCTGTCCCAGGCCACTGCAGGGAGCTGGATGGGAAACAGGGCTGCTGGGATTAGAACCGGAGATCATATGGGATCCCAACATGTGCAAGGTGAGTACTTTAACCACTACACTATCGTGCCAGGCCCAAAATAAATAAATCTTAAAAGGAGAGAGAGAGAGAGAGAGACTGAGAAAGTAGCTGCACTAATGATAACCAGTTAAGCTCAGCAGTTCAGCTCTTCTATCTGCTACACTGTCAATAATCTTCACATCCTTCCCAGGAGTTCTGGTACTTGTTTTGTAAAATGTGCAGCTAGTTAAAGACAAATGTTGACCACCTGGGACAGAAAATCTCAGCAGGGACCTTCCTTTGAGGACCTGCTCAAGCAGGACTTAGTCTGGGTTGGCTGAAAGGAAATACTCATGAGCATAGCGTGGACTTGCTATAGAGAAAGAGATTGCACAAGCTGAAAAGAAAGACAGCCTATGATTCAACTTCAGAAAGAAGCTGGATGTAGGAATATGCACAGTAATATCATAAATATACATAAATATATCCACAAGAGTCAGGACTGTGCCCGTCTAAGGCCAGGGGCCAGGAGCTCCATCTGTGCCTGCAGGGATCCAGGCATTTGGTGCACATGAGTAGGAAGCAGAAGCAGAACTGGAGGGTTGACCTGATGCCTGGCTCTGATACGGGCTGCAAGTGACCTACACAGCGCATTCATTTGTTGCACCACAACAGCCACCTTATGTTAAAAAACTGATGGCAGCCCTTAAACAACTCAGCTTCCAATTCTTCTGCAATTTTCTCTAAATATAGATTAAACACACAGCAAATTATGCTGCTTTACTCCTAGGATCAGTGACTACAAAGTCACTGGTGAAGTTTTATAGCTTTATCTTGATTTTGTGAAAAAGTGTACAGCATAGTGAAGCTCCCATGAGGTAAGGAAACAGGCAAGTACTTTTTTGATTAGAAAAGAATCAATCATTTCTCTTAACGATTTAATATTCAAATCCATGCCTGATAAAACAATTACCTGAAAATTACCAGTTTGTTTGCTCATCAGTGAATACACATAAGTAAAGATTATTCATACAGCTGTGCAAATATGTAACAATCTATTCACATTCTAGAGAAAAAATAAGTCTTTCCCCCAGTATCCTTGGTTTTGCATGCTGGTACAATACAGAAATGTATTGTGGAAAACAATAAAAATAAGAAAAAATGATAGTATTCAGTATTGAAAAAAAGTGAGATATGTATACTTTAAAAATTGCTGGTTGCAATATAATGTAGTACAACCTCTGTAAAGGTCACTTTGAATATTGTGTCAAGTGTTTAAAAATAAATACAGTCCTTATCTTAATGAAGTAAGCACAAAGATTCGGTAAAAGATATTCATTCCACTTATTTATAACAGCAGTCTATTTGAAAAAGGTTAGGTAAATGTAGAACTTACTTTGGGTTTGGTATATGAGGCAGGAAGTTAATTTTACTTTTTCCCATGTAGCTAATTAATTTTCCCAAGTATCATTTGCTGACTAGTTCAATCCATTCCCAGTGGAACGCAAGCAAGGTTACTTCAAAAGTTCATGTAGAATGGAATACAAGGTGAGTTTATTTTGTTGTAAACATTCTGTAAACCCATGTGTATGTGGGGACTGCAAATGTTCACAGAAAATGCATTCATGAAAAACTATGCATGCGTTTCAAATGTTTTTGCATCAAAATAAACTGATCTTATAATTCCACCTTTCATAAACCTTTTGAAGTCCACTAATTTCCATATCTTCAATGCTTTGTCTTTAGACATTCGATCATTTTCCATTGATTCTCTCTGTCTCTCTCTCTCTCTCTTTCTCTTTTTAAGATTTCCTTTTATTGGAAAGGCAGATATACCGAGAGGAGATACAGAAAGATCCCCTGCCCGCTGGTTCACTCCCCAAGCAGTCACAACTGCTGGAGCTGAGCTGATCTGAAGCCAGGAGTCAGGAACTTCTTCCAGGTCTCCCATGCAGGTGCAGTTTCCCAAGGCTTTGCTCCATTCTCAACTGCCTTCCCAGGCCATAGGCAGGGAGCTGGGTGAGAAGTGGAGCATCTGGGACATGAATTGGCACCCATATGTGATCCTGGCACATGTAAAGTAAGTACTTAGCCACTAGGCTACTATGGTGTAGGGCCCCTTTGATCTCTTTAATAGCATATATTATCACTGATGGGAAGTCTTAGTATGAATCTTGATATTGGGTAGAAAAAGATTCTCTGCCTTTTCAGAGTTTTCAAATGCTGATTTGTGGCTCTTGTTCCCTTGTAGCTTTTCTAACTCAGCATTTAAGACAGCTTACTCAGATGTACAGATCATTTATTAATATTTTAAATATAATAAATTGACGAGTATACTTGAAGGACATGTCAGATAATAAAACTTCCTACCCAATAATACAGATCCTCATGTTTTCTTTGTGAATTTATATATATATGCATATCTATAAATGTATATAAAATGAGTACATATAAGTTTTGTTAGATTTATTCCTTATGGGAATATTCTGTTTTCTCATCATTATAAATGTATCTTAAAAATGGACTGTCTGGATTCATAGTATACAAAAATACTTTTGATTTTTTGTATTGACCTTAAATACAGTAACCTTGAGGAACTCAAATAGTTTTCTGCCTGGCAGTTCACAGTAGGAGGTTGAATGGGGATGCCTGTGAGTTAAAATTATCAGCTGAGGACAAGGCAGGCTGAAATGTGCTGAAATGGTACCGGTTGCAACAAAGAATTCATTGTCTCTAAGGCTTTACCGACAGTGCTGCCCTCAGTCTGAGAGTTGGTTTCTTCTTAGCTTTTTTTTTTTTCTTCTTTTTTCAGATTGTATGTCCACTGGTGCACTCCCCAAAAGGCTGCAATAGCCAGAGTTGAGCTGACACGAAGCCAGGAGCCAGGAACTTCTTCTGGGTCTCCCATGTTGCTGCAGGGTCCCAAGGCTTTGGGCCATCCTCTATTGCTTCCCAGGCCACAGGCAGGGAGCTGGATGGGAAGTGGAGTGTCTGGGACATTTACTGGCAGCGCTATTTGATCCTGGCATGTGCAAGGCAAGGATTTAGGCACTGAGCCATGGCACTGGGCACCAGCTTTTGAGTTTTAACCTGTCATTTCTTCACTGAATATCCTAGTACAAAGCACCTGTCGACCTTCACACGTGCCTGCTTATAGCTTCTATGAGTGCATTTTCTGCATGCTTGCTGGGTAATGCTTTTGCTTACCATCACCTCTTCTTTCCACTACGGGCTTTCTGAGGACAGGCATCAGGTCTACTTTGTTTGTAACTCCTGAATCTGTGTGTCATTTAGCTCAATAACGTTTGTATAATAAATGTACTAACAATGTCGAACATCTGTTTCAATTCTTAGCAATCCAGTTGCTTCATCATTTAAATATATCTTACATATTCTCAATGACACCTTTTAAAATAGACATGGTTATACACCAGGTGTAAAATAAGACAGAAGGAGATCAAACCAACAGAAGGAAATTAGTATAGTTGAAAACAGAACTCAAATAATATAACTCAAATTCTACTTCAACAACTACATGACAAAAGAGAGACAAAGAAGTGTGTGCTTGAGAGAGGAGAGAGAAGAAAGGAGCAAGGGAGATGATATTCATATGTCAACTTCCAATGTGAAGAGCATATCACATCATTTACTCTGCTAAGCAGTAACTTCTCAAGTCTCATGCTTTGAGTGTTTCGGGAAAGATTCTATCTCTCTGAGATATTGCAGATCAGAAAACATGTTAACAGTACTTCCAAAAAACACTGTCATATATGCATCCTACAGAGTGAGCCATAAAGGTGCTTGCAATCACAGAATCGTTCTCTCTCTGAATGCTACATTCCATCAGCATAAAATTGGCCAGAGAAGTCACTTGACATATTCAAGTCTGATCACTGCATGGACTCCTTGTAAGAATTAAGTTTCAATTTCAAGTCCTAATTCATTCTCTCATAATTCTTCTGCCTTTGTTCACATTACATACAACATTTAAAAGCCACATGAAAATATCTTAACAGTTTTACCATAGATTGAGTATAGAGGTAAAGCTTTCTTTCAGAACTACTATGTAAAGAAAGCACGTGGTACTCAACTTCTATTTGATGCGATCAATGACACGACATGTCCCTGTTCTTTTCCTTGTCACTAAGTCTGATGATAAAATAAGTAGTCAATTCTGTTAATTCTGAGTAGCTGGCTTCATACTGTGAGGCAATGAAAAGATGAAAAGGAGCACGCTATGCTACCAGTCTCCTTGAGGTGAAAAAAAAAAACAAATACTCCTTAAGCTCATCATGCCATTTTTCCTGACTTTCAAGAGAAAAAAAAAAGCTTTCTGCCAAAAGGGAATGCCTATTGAAGAATGATTGTTAGGCACAGCACTGACAGAATGAAGCACAATTTTGGATCCCAGTCACAGAACTTATCTCTCTAAAAAGGACCACTCACCTCCTCCTGAACTCAGAGAGGAATGGTTTGGTATTGATGGGGTCATAGCAACACACACTTAATACAAAGTGGTTTGTCAGCAGTGGACAGTGACAGATCTTTATGTTTAGGGATCCTGCCCCCAAGACTCAGACTTACCCATCACGGAGACGTCGTATTCAACCAGCAGCGTTGCTTCTTGTCCACACTGTTTGAGAATACTCATGGCTTCTGCATGTGTGGTTCCCAGAAGCCGGATCCCATCCACACTGAGCAGCCTGTCACCGGGTTTGATTGTGCCCTCTCTAAAGCGAGTAAAAGGTAGAGCCTTTATTAATCTAGCACAGTGGAACTCTGCATTGCTAATCACTTACTCAAAGGCATTCATTCCCACCTATTCAGCTCTTCATCCCGCTTGCATCCCCTTTAAAACCAAGTGCAACAGAAAGCGTGGAGGGAGATATCTCAGAACAGAAAATTATTCTAAGATGAAAATCAGTCTCGAGAAAATAACTTTTAACTTTTGAAGTACAAAATTGGGAAAGGCACACTTTTCTTTTGCTATATTTTGACCTGAATGTCTAATACTGACTTACTAGAGTCCAGGAAGTAACATTCACCAAATTTCCCAAAGTCAAGTGAGCACAGACACCTGGTAATTTCATTTAATTTACTGCTGGTGAACGCAAGCAGAATACAGGGTGCTGGTGGGAAATTGCCCTAGTCTGTAAACTTCCCCCACTGATTTACACAGCCATCTGGCAATCATTAAATTGATCCTGTCTCCCATTGCCTGGAAGAGGCCTGCACCTGCTGTCCTTCCTGCTGTGAGCTCAGAGCCTTGAGGCACTGGGGAAGGTAACTCAGGACATCACTGAGTGAAAGAACAGCCTGGAGGTCCCTAAACTGCCCCTCCCTACCTCAGTATGGGCAGAGATGAGAAAGAGGAAAAACTACAAATGACATGTTAAATCTTTTACTTTAATAACTCTCCAAGTAATTTTATTCTAAAATTTTATCTTTAATTTGATTAAACTTCATTCACAAACTTGTAGACTGTTATAAACTCCACCTCTAAATGTGATTAATAGATTTATTAATATTATTATATGATAATCAATCATAAATACAAATATTCTTTCTTAAGAAAGACTAATTCTCAAGAGAAGCGTGAAAAGCCTGAAAAGGGAATAAAGGCAAAATTTCCTTGTAAGTTTTGGCTTTGTGTCATTCTCTACCATGTCTGTTTATCTAGCCATCCACCCAGGTAAGAATTCAGCACCTCTGCATTTTCCCATTTATATGAAACACAGTTTTCCTTAAAAGTGAATGATCAATAAGAAAGTTCAAGGGGAATAAACCTGGATTCCTAATCCAGTTCTTCTTAGTGATTGGCAAGTCACTTAACCACACTGGCTTGTTTTTCTATCCATAAATGTATATAAAACATTCATTTGGAGGGTTGGTACAAGGATAAAATAAGATCATATCTGCCAAGCATTTAATAACTAGAAATTTATTATTATTATATCTGCTAAAATATTTTAAAATCTATCTTGACTGGAAACACATGCAGAAATAATCAGTGCATTTCCTAAGACTCTCCGACAACAGCTGAGAGAAGTCGAACTCCCCATTATTACGGGGTTGACTTTTGCTGCAGGTGGTGAATATAAAGGTAAGTAGATCCAGAAACATCAAAACTGAGTTTGCCTGGAATCCAGCAATGGCTTTGACAGGAAAGCTGAAACTGCATGCCCTGCACATATTCAACAAGAAAGTGACAATTCTAGGTCAAAACTCAAAAGTCACTTCATTGAATGTAGTCATGTACAAAGATAGTACCAGAGGCAGGTGTTTGATACAGTGGCTAAGAAACATGTTAGTTCTCCCACGCATTGGCTTGGGCTTGTTTTGTGACCCTTCGCTGGGTGTCAGCTTCATGCTAACGCACACTCTGGGAACAGCAGAAGTTCGCTCCAATGGCTGAGTCACTGCTAATTACCTGGGAGACCTGCATTAGTGCTGGCCTTCAGCCTGGCTCCACCCCAGCTGTGGAGGCCATTCTGAACATGAATCAAAAGACGGGAAATATTGACCTGTCTTCTGTTTCTCTTTCAAATAAATAAAATAATAAAATCCCAAAAGAAAAAAATACGGATGCCATTATATAAGGATTCTGGTAGTAGGAAGAGCCACGTCACCACCAGCTGTGTTCCCAGGTTGAGGAAGAGTATCAACTTTCACATGCGGGCCTTGAGAAAGTCAGTTGCCTTCAGTTAAGTGTCTCCTGTAAGAAGCCCCCTGAAGGCACCAGAGAGCTGCAACCTGGGGCAGAGCCGGACAGTTCCCTTACACTGACAACGCAGCACACCGAACTCAGAAGCTAAGTGGTTTGCCAGAGACACAGGGTCTAAGTGTAGAACCTAAAGTGAAACTATATTTTTCTGATTCCACAACCCAAAATCTTTGCATTTTCACATTCTAACTTACTTACTTAGTAGCCATCTTCTACCACAAAACGCATACCTTGTCAATTTCTATACAAAAATCTATAGTTCTATTTTTTCTGGGTAGCTACACAGAAAGATGAAGCTTACCTGTCAGCAGGCCCTCCAGGACGAACACATGTTATCACAACTGGGCGAGACTTATTTCTATCGTCATGCGCTCCCCCTAGCAGAGAAATGGAACACAGCTTACAATTATTTTCACTGTCGCTGTGGAAAAAACTCACAAAACACCACCCGAGAAACTGAAGTACATTTGTGGATGTACAAAGAAAAGCATGGAAAATTACCCTTCGGCACATTATAGACTGAAGATCTTGCTGATTTTCTATCAAATATGTACCTGAAGTCATAATTCCTCCACTTCTTAATAAATGTTTCGCTGTCAGCAGGGTGATGTATGAAATGGCTAACAACTGCTATGGCAGGAGGATTAACTAATTACAACTCCTGACTCAATTAAAAACAGCAGCCAATTACAAACCAAATACTGCTGTGTATACCTAATGCCAATGAACCTGGGCTATTATGCAGGTGAATCAGCACGTCTAAAATCTGACATTAAAGGAAGCAGAAACTAAAGTAAAATTCAAAAATATACAGAATTTAAAATAAAGAAGGAAAGAGAAAAAAAATCAGGTTTTGCCTATCTGGGTGGCAAAATGGGACTAACAAATATGAACGCTGAAGTCAATTATTACTGCTTCAATGTTTGCCCAGCAGGACAGAGTGGCATTTCCCAGACTCAACACACATACAGTGGTCAACTCACACAGTCCAAACTAACAGAAAAACTAAAAGGTATTCACACTTCCTAAAGAAGGCAACAGCTTTCCATAGGCTCATTTCTATTGCAACAGACTGATTCTGATGGACTGGAGTTCCATTTTAGTATTTGGTTCTTTCATTTAGTCTTATCTTACACATTCCTATTTAATATTGGAAAACCACTTCTTTCCCTGAAGAAATTAAAAAAAAAATGACAGTTGGTTGTAGCAAATGCTTATAAACAATTACATAGATTTTCCCAAGTGAGCTCTGTTTGCAAGGTGATCACTTTAGGAAAGCTCCTCTGACGAGGTACTGATTTAGGCAAGAACACAAGGCAGCAAGATACTTTTACTTACAAACTTTGATTTAAAGGTCAAAATTTAAACATGTAAAGGTGACTTCATGTTAAAGTGTGAGGTAGTTGTAAATTTCTTGGTATGCGATATTCTGTCATTGCTTCACCAACAAGGTTAAGGGTATGATTCACGGAGGATCTGGAGGTGAGAGCCCCTGAGAGAATGGTGAGTCTCAATCCTGGATGCTCGTGACACTCACCTAAGATGCTTTTACAAACACCAATGGCAGGCTCAGCAGTGCAGAGCAAGTCTAAATGCCAGGCAGCATATATTAAGAGTAGAATTCCCTACAGTTTTACAGTTGTGAATGACAATGAAAAGGTACTCAATGGCAGATTTTTTTTTTCTATTACCCAAAAATAATTATCTTTAACTTGGTGGCAAGGAATTAACTAATATTGAAGTCTCCAGTGTCCAGGGCAGAAAGTCATTTTTTACTCTGTAGGTATAAGATTCTACGGTTTGAGGAGTCACGACTGTTTTAGATGTCAGGACTTGTAGCATTTGAAATGCTGCTCCAATCATAACCTAAACGTTCATGTTAATGGTCAAAGTTGTGCTCTAACAGATTAACAAATCCTCCAGTTATAACATGTATACCTGCTCTATCTGCAGTTATCTTCCCATTTCCCAGTTGCTCTGGAGTTCTCCATTGACCTAAGCTCAGCTCAACTCCCATCCTCACGAAAATGTCTCATCTGCTACACTAACATCATGCACAATACTTTCTCATTATGACTTATTTATGGTTTTTAAGGGCCTAGTGGTGACCACTGATTGAGCTGGGAATAATCCCGCACATGAACCTCAAACTGTTCTAAAATTGAAAGTCCTTTATTTGACCCTAATTCAGAAATTATACAAAATCCCATAAACGGTTGCATCTAACCAACATATAAAGGAAGTTATCAAAATCTATAAAATGTGGTACTCATCAACTAAAATTCTTTCACTAATGCTAAGGTTTTTTTTTTTTTTGCTTTTCCTTTTAATGTTAAGGTTTTCAAAATCAGTACAGTGCTAAAAAGTTTGATGTTCAGACACATTAAGGCAATCTCAAGTGGTCACTCATTCATTCAAGTTTCCTCCATGGCAGTTCTCATACAACTCTGCATGGATAGATACCTGAAATTCTTGTAAACTGTAGGAAGTACATTTTGTTAACATCGCATCATCATTTGTCTAAAGGAAGTTGTACAATTCAGTCGTTCAATTTTTAAATGACAACTTACTGTTGGCTTAGTTCTTCTACTTGCAATCTGGTTTGTTACTGATGAACCATAAAGTATGATGAATGCTTGTACCAGCTGATTTTATGTTACAGTTTTTTCAGTCATTAGGCTGGCATGCAATATAAGACATCCTGTAGTTGTTATGCCTATACTGTAAAAACAGATGTGTACATACCAGCTCTCAACCTGCGATTCCTGATCCAGTGACCTGTCACCACTTTCAGTTAAATATTTTACACACAAATTGGGGAGCAGTTAAGGTAAATGATCTGTTTTACCTCAAGGTAGCTATTGGTCAGAAAACTATTGTTTTGCCCATAAAAACATAGATAACTACTGGTCAAAATGTCTCAGTGTGTTTAAGAAAGTCACTGGAGACACAATTTCATAAGTGAATGCATCTTTTATTTTTTGATGCACAACTATAAAGACATGTCTACTTATGTAAATTGATATTTTAATAAGTTTTATGAAATTTTGACACTAATGAAATACCAAATGTCATTGGTAAAATGAAAAATCAAGAAACATGAAATGTTAACCAAAATCCTGATGGTTCAGTAGTGTCATATTGAACCTCACTGTCATATCAGTGATTAAGAATAATTAATGTGGGATAAAGGTTCAGGGCAAAAGCTGTTAATAATAAGAGTAAACCAAGAGAACAAACATACAGCTTAGAATGAACGGTTTTATAGACAAGTCAAAGTTCCCCAAATCTTTCTTTTAAATGTCATTCAAATATGAGTTAAACTGTTGCACAGAGGTTCCTGAGGGAGTAGATTATTTTAATTCTATCTTTTGGAAGTTACAATAACAAAGTATGTTTCAGGCAAAATTAATTTAAACAAAGTTGGGTAATCCTTGGTATTAAAGCAAAAGAAACTATACTCATAAACACTTTTGACTCAATGATACTGAAAAGTTCAAAAGGAAATGCAGAAGATGTGCTGAAAAGCAACAAATTAGTAGGCTGACTGCGAACTGACACGGTTTACAAACGTGGTGTATTGTTCTGTGTTCTACTAGAGTCTCATTTACCATTTTATTTACTAAAAGGCCAGTACAAATATTCAAGAGCGGCCAGGTGCAGTGGAAATGTGAGTTTTTCTGAGGATGTCTTCCCACTCACATCCAGTTTAAGCATCACCTACCTCGTATTACAAAGCCAAAGGTATTGCCTTCCTTATGCAATGTGACCTCCACAGTTCGGAAAATAACACTTGATCCTTGTACCGCTGAAAACAGGAAAGACAGAGCAAAAATATAAGTTTCAAGTCATAGTAAAACTATTCAATTTTATGTGCCATAAGATAGTAGAGATTCTTATTGCAAATAATTTCTGAAGCAGCAGGAAAATGACAATTTTTTTTAAGAAAACTGTTAGAAAATATCACTGCACTGACATACAAATGGCACAGAGTAGTTCATCAGCATGTAAATGAGACAAGGAGGTACAAGTGGAATAAAAATCCTAGCAATTCCTTCATTTCTGTGCAGGCAGTTTCTAGTTCAAACTCCATAAGTCTTTAACAAGTATAGTTTTCCTTTGCAAAGCCCCAAGTGAATAAGTATTTTTGTAAAACTTCTATAATAATTTGTGTATTTACCTTTGTTTTTGCAACTGGCACAGAAAATTATTTCCAAACTGTTATTAATAGATCAGGCTGTTAGAAAATGGCAACCCAAATGAAACCTGGAGACCGAAGACATTCTAAGTATTTTCAAAATATTAACACCAAATAAGAAAATGAAGCTCTACTTAAGTTATTTGATGCAAACAGGTATATGCTACTTACCTCTGTGTACCACTCTTATGTCACAAAATGAAATTGCATCACCAAATTACATTCTCTAATTTTAGAGCACAAATATAGGAAGGTGTAATTCATAGGAAGGTACAGTCACTAAAATATTCTGCCATACTCTTTTTGAGAAACTGCTGAATAATTCTGGTTGTGCAGTATACTACTGTCAAAAAGATATTTTCATAGACTAGTATTTTGTCATTAATACAGTGAGTTTTAAAAGCCTATGTGTTTGTTTAAAAGTAGAGCTACGGAGAAAAAAGATGGGAGGCGGCATAAGAGAGGGACGGAAGCAGAGCGAGATATCATCTGTCTCCTGTGGGCTGACTCCACACAGCTGTGATGATGAGTTCTAGGCTAAGCTGGAGCCAGGAGCCTGGTCCTCCACGCAGATAGGTCACCCAAGGGCTAGGGCCCCAAGCGCTTGGGCCATCTCCTGCTGCATTTCCAGGGGCACTGGTAGGGAGCTGGACTAGAAGTAGAACAGCTGGGACTTGAACTATATGTATGCCACTGAACCCAGAGTCACACTGCCAGCCCCAGAGGGAGATATTTATTCATAAAGATAGACCAAAAGAAACCCTTATCTATTGTGTTCATTATCGATAACATTTTATATTGCTACTAGATTGGAAGGGTTTCTTATATAAAACCATGAACAAGCAATACATATTTCTTGACTTAGGAGGATTAGCATAAGAATTTTCAACTTTGCATTGGTGTGAACATATACCCACACAACCATTCTGTTTTTTGTTTTTTGTGTAGTATTTAATATATTATTTGAGATATCAGTGGTATATTATAAAATAGGCTTTACTCAAATCATTTTGCTCAGACATAGGCTAACTTAACTGTCCTGAGCACAGATAAGGCAGGCAAAGCTAAAATGTAATGTCTTATTGACTAGGTATGTGAATGCATTTTCAGTTTATGGTAATTTAAATTTATGACGAGTTTAGTGAGCTGTAACTCTGTCATAAAGTAAGGAGCATGTTTATATTAATATAATTTAAAGGCATTTTAAAAACATGTTTCTTGCCATTTACACATATAGCAAATGATTTTAATTAAATATAAATTAGAATTATTTTAGATGATCAGAAATGTTGGACATTGAAAAGAATGTTATAGACAGAATTATAAAAAATTACATTTAAATTGACAAAATGGAATATTATCTGGCTGGGACACAAAGTACAGTAAAAACTTGAACCTGCAGGAAAACAAACACACAATATTCACAGCTGAACCAACCACTGATTTAATTAAATGTCAGATCATTGCTGTCAGGGGATTTTTTACTTCATTGTAATTAACTAGGAACAGTACATACAACAACTCCAAGAGTTGAGTTGCAGTTTTAATTAAATGGAAAAAAAACAGTGAAAGCCAAATATTTTCTTATATTCATGACTCAGAAACCCAGTGAAATAAATTGGTTGAGAACACATTCTTTTGTTCTGCTGCTAAGTGAAGGAAGAACATGATATGGGGAAAAAATAACTACTGAGCATTTACTCTGTGTCCAGAACTCTGCAGAGTGGTTTGCAAAAATTATTTTGCTTAATCATTAAATCAACTTTTAATTATATACAACCAAATTCTAATTTTGGACCACCTGTCATTGTTGGCTGGGTGTCTGTTGTGGGAATGAAAAACACAGTAATTTTAATTTTGCTTTAGCTAAATCTTACTGGCAGCAAAATCTTGCAATCAAATCTGAAGTCCATACAAATACTTAAGGGATTATCTACAGCTTTAGATGATCACACTATTGCTCTCCACAGCTTCAAAGATAAATGCGAAGGCTTGCTATAAATTACTATAATTAATGAAGTAGATTTGGTTTATATATATATATATATATTTTTTTTTTTTGCATGACTGGTTCTTTCTGACTAGGTTTCCACATTTAGTTCCAAAATCTGTGCTACCACATGAATTACTCTGTGTTCCACGCATACGTATGGGCATGCATACACTCCATTAAGGGGCTTAGGAGGAGAATCAAAGTGCTAGGCAGAAATCAATCTCATACAGCAACAACGCTTTTCTTCTGTATTTTAACAGTATAGCCATTGCTGGTTTCGACATAAAAGTACACGTGTCCTTCCACATACCAGTTATTTTGCTGTGGTAGAGTACATTTTCCTAATTTTGTGTACTCCTCCCCCATATCCTCACCTTATTCCTCAGCAGGAAAACAGGAGTTATATACTGTCCCATCTCATTATGTTATTCTTGCCCATGTGGCTTGCTGCTGCGCTTGACAGGTTAAGAGAAGCAAGCAGAGGCTGGAGATGGGCTCTTGCGGGGGAAGGGTGCTCTTTCCCCTTTGCCATTGACACGAGATGAGCTTTCTCAGAACAACTTGTCTTTTAGACTCCATTCCATGATAAACCTCATGCAGGAAGTCCTAGACTACTCCTTCCATGCTCCCTCACCATCCTGTATCCCACCTGTACCTTAGGATACAGGAGGAAGAAGGCAGGCTCAGTGACATGATATAATGCTCTGATTTGGGTTAAAAATGCACTCCTTTCAACAAACACTAATTTCACTTTTCTAACAGTTTCATAATGAGGACTGCTTTCACCAATTGGATCTCATGGCAGACACTTTTACTAAAGGAAGTTAATCTGTGGTCTTAAAGTTTGAATGAAGAAGTATTTAAAAATACTAAAATGAGCAAAATGCCAGAATCACACCATTTCCAAATATTTAAGATTTATAGAAGAGAATTTTGTTTGTTAACAGAAAATGGATGAAAACTATGTAACATTTCAAGATTCTTAAGGGGTTATGTGACAACCCAGGTTACATCTCTGCACCACCCTTAATACACCTAAGAAATAGTTCACAGACATTTTATTTCTTCTAAATGCAGTTTCAAAGAATATCGTAAAATAAAAAAGATTTAATGGCCACACAGAGCAATCATTTCATTTTCACAAAGCAACAATCTCAGGAAAGACAGATGGCTTGCTCAAGGATAAACTTCAATTGTTCTTCTATCAGGTCAGACATGCACACATCCTCCAGTTCTTTCTGAACTCAGGTTGGCTGAGCTGTAAGTACTGTGATCCTCAGAGAGCTCCCAGTCTTGGCTTTGGGCAGCTTATCTGTTAGCAGCCCACTCCTGTGGAACCTCAGCTGTGGGAGGGAGGCAGGGCGGGGCCTGGATCTGTGCTCCAACTGCATGCACCAAGTCACTGAAAATGCTATTAATCCCTTCAACCTCTGTGAACTCAAAAATCTTATTAATTTTTCTAAAGGCAATAGAGACACCATCCTTGCAGAATAGGCTCCTTCCTGATTTCCACCATAAAAATGATTTTGCATTTTAAAATATTCTGCTCTTTTCCTATTAGTTTGGCTATGTGAGGAAGTAAAGGCTGGTATAATCACAAGATCATGGTAGGCATTAATTCCTAAACATTTCTGGTATCCATCCCCTCATCTTCAATTCTAAACAAATACAAATGACTTAGAAAATCCCCCTCTGTTGGAAAATTCTAACAGCCTTTAGGTGCAGAGCTTCTAATTGATTCTATTTCGTCTCTCAACATGAAAATCTAAAAACTTAGATGTGAAGATGTTTCCAGTTTTAAAGCCATTACGGCTTCTTGTTGCCAAGTGATGTCATCCAGTTTCACTAACAGCATGCACAGCTCTCGTTGGTTCCTGTATACTTCACTGGTCTCGTCCCTCTCCAGGCCCTCTCTGATGAGCCTGTCTGAAATTCACCTGAGCATGGACCACCATCTTGCTTCTTGTCATACTCCCTGTCCGGGATCTTCCTCTTCCTAACTGATCTGCACTACCATGTTTATCTCCTTCTAGAAATCTGTAATACTGGACAGTTTTCTCTTGTTGGCCTCACAATGAAAGCTACCCTAAGAGTTCCTTCTTTGAGGAAGAAGCTGTGTTTTACTTATATTCCTATCTCCACTGAAATAAAAGTGTCTGAATATGTGTGGGTACTGGGTCCTTGAATTATGCTGCTGCTTGGAATGCTTGCATCCCATATCAGAATGCCTGAATTCCAGTACTAACTCCATTCTTAAGTCTCCTGCTCTTATGCATCCTGGGAAGCAGCAAGTGGATGGGTCAAGTGGTTAGGTCCTCACCACTGCTGTGTGAAACTGAGACTGAGTTTTTGCTTTTCAGCTTCAGCCTAGGCCGGTGCTGGCCAACATTTGGAGAGGGAATTGGGAAACTCAAACTTAAAGGAAACACAATACTTTCAATAAGGAATCCGCCATCCTCAGTTTGTTTTCCATGGTTTTAGGTACCTATAGTCAACTACATTCTGCAATTCTTCCCAGAAATCCCAAACACTGAATCACTCATATCCTTGAGAAATATGATGAAACAGTAATTTCTGAAAACATGAGAAATGCCAGAATAGAAAATTCATAAAATTTAAATAATGTTATTACATTATATCATTATAATAATCCTATTTAATTTAACCACTTAAGCTTCTTCCTCTACCTAATTTATAAATTAAGCTTTATCTTGAGTATGGATGTGCCAGAAAAGCAGTGTATACAGGGTTAAGCATGATTCACACTTCAGGCATGGCCTGTGGATACTGGAGAGACTAATGGCCAGCATTTTCAGTTACTTGCAAAGACATCAGAATGCTCTACGTAATAGTTACATGATTATTGCACTGAATCTTCACAAAAGTACTACAACTACTATAATCATTTCAAAGATGATAAACCTAAGGTCCAGAGAACTTAAATAACATGCCTGAGGTAACAAAGTTAGAAATGGGCAAAGCTGACATTTAACTATTGAGCATTAACATTTAACAATCCAGGCAGTTATCACTCTTTCACTGCCTACTCTGGCTGAAAATTAAAAACCCTGTAGCAAGGCTTTTGAACTTGGAATTCAATTGATTTTGTTGCAAAATGACTGCTAGATTTTCAATGTTACGTTTCATGTCAAGAATAAGGCTTATGACTAGCTATGTCCACATTCCCTGTAAGCTGTAACCCGTTCCCCACACTTCAAACAACATATCTCTCCATGACTCTCAAATTTATGTTTGCAGTCCAGCCCTTTCTTCCAAACTGCAAACTCCATCTACAGCTCTTTCCTTATCTCATCTTGTGCAGCAAAGGTAGTAATTTAAACAATGGAGTTCTCATCTCCACAATCAAGTCACTCACATTCTAATCTGTCCTTGTTAATATAACCTGTATCTACAATTTACTTCTGATGGTTTAATTTTATTATGTCATCTCTTGCTAGGATGTAAACTCTTGCTAGGATGCAATCCAAGTTCCCAGTAAATAGTGGCATTTGGGACACAGTAAATGCTCAGTACGTCACTGCTGAATAAATGAATTAGTATCAACTCTTCAGAACTAATCTGAGTTCTCACCAACATAGAAGAGGTTTCCCAGGGTAGTTCCAAGATAATAGCAAGTAACATGGGTGTTGGTGCTTGGACAACACTTAAAGGCAGAGCACCAGTAACATACCTCTCACCTAGGGTATACCTCACAATGAAGAAGCATATGCCCTTCAGTGCCAGGCAGCCTGGGGTCAGATACTAATGTGGGAAAGATACTTAGGCCTCTGAATATTAACATAATAATGATAATAATGTCTGTCTTGTGTTGGTTGATTTATTATTTATCAGGAACTTTCACTATGCCAGGGATTGTTCTAAGTGTTTTAACAACTATTAATTCAGTTAATCATGACAAATCTTTAAGGAAAATGAACATTGCCATCATTCTGAGTTGTGGGAACTGTGACACAGAAAGTATAAGTAGCTTTCTTTCTTAATATACTTAGTAAATTGTAAAGCTGAGATTTCAACCTGGCTACTAGGTACAAAGTTAAGCCCTGCTATGCTGCCCTTTGTTATTTTGAATATTAAATGTGGTAATGCAAGTCAGGCTGCTCATAATGTTGAGAATTTAATAAGCTCTCAAAACGTGTTGTCTGTTCTTGTTATTACTATTATTATTACTTCAGAACATGTTCTGAAGTTATTTTCATACTACACTTCAGAAGTGAACATTTTTATATAAAACATATACAACCTACTTTTCCTAAACCTCACTGCTATGTAGAAAGCCTAGTGCTACGTAACACATAGTACTTATAAACATGCTGCTTATTAAAACAGCTTAATTACAAAAGCTTAAGTGGTCAATATGAGGCCCATAAATCACTTTAATGGAATATGGGCACTACATAATGTCATCATTAACTATATTTTCTATTTTTCTATTTTATATTTTATATTTTCTATTACTTTATTCACACATATACTGGTTTACCAAATTCACTGAAGAGGTAATGGAAGGGGGCAGAGAGAAAGGGCTTTCCTTTGCTAATTAACTTCCAAAATGTCTGCAATAGTTGGGCATGGGGCAGATAAAACCCAGAAACTCACTTCAGGTATCTCATTTGGGTGGCTGGAATCCAGCTACTTAAGCCATCACTGATGCTCTCCATGGTCTGAATTAGCAGGAAGCTGGAAATAGGGGTGGAGCCAGAACTTCAACCCAAATATTCCAGAATGGAACATGGGTATCCAAGTAGCACCTTAGCCACTAGGCCAAACACACTCACAATGCGTTTAAAAATTCTGAGTAGACAGATAACACATTCTTCAACTCAAATAATTCTTAAAGGGGTGGGTTCTGTAGTACACAGGGTTATGCCTCAGCCAGGGACCCCTGTATCCTATACTGCAGTGCCCGGTTTCATGTCCTGTATAACCTGCATCTGATGAAGCTTCCTGACAACGAGCCTTGGAGGGAGATGACAGTCCCAGTGCCTGGATCCCTCCCATCCTTCTGTGAGACTCAGGTTTCGTTCTGGGCTCCTGGCATCAGTTTGGCACTTGGAGAGGGAACAGGCAGAGGGAAAATTTCTGTGTGTGTGTGTGTGTGTGTGTGTGTGTGTGTGTGTGTGTGTGTGAGCCATTCTGTCAAGTAGAGAAAACAAACATCAAAAGCAATTGCTAAATATCAAGAAACTGCTCTGCCATTCCTGTAATTAAGTACTGGTGGCAAAAGGGAAAGAATAGCCATTTGCCCCTGAAAACACCTGATACACCTGCTGTGTTCCTGGCCTGTGGTAACTTACAGACTGGTGGAAGTTCATACTCCACTTCAAGAACCACTCTCTCTCCGACATTCTTCAGCAAGCTGATGATCTCATCGTGGCGGAATTTGGCCAGGTTGATCCCATTCACTGCTTTGATGTAGTCACCCACATCCAACTGGTCACTTCTGCAAAACAGACAATTCTCCTTCAGCAGACTCATCCTCACCACTAGCCAGGTTGACTCGATTTTCCCCTTTTTGAGAACAAACATGCAAGCCTGGAAGGCAGACAGCACAGCTACCCTCCCGAGATATGGCCAGCTCCTTAGAGCAGAAAACAGTGAGTGTCAATGAGGGTCCATGACTCCTGACTCCCCACGACACCTGTTCCGAGAGGGGATTTCAAAAAGTTCATGGAGAAAAGGAATTAAGAATAATTTTTGGTGCGAAAAATGCTTGGAATCCATGCACAGAGGGATCTTCAAAATGTTAATGGAAAATTTATATTACAACAAAAAATCTACAGGGGTCCTTCAACATTTTTGGTACCAAATAAATTTGTCCTTTAATTTCATTTCCTATAAATTTTGTCAGATCCTCTTGTACTTCATAATCTTACTCTGGTTCTGCCACTATCAATGAATGTGTCCTATTGTTACATTTCTTTTCAAAGATACCATTTAACAAAATAAGTTGAGATTTTAAAATTTATTTTGTCTGTCAAGAGTTGGTCCAGATCTGAGAACTTCCAGGTTTTGTTCTTCTCACGTTTGCTACCCGCCTTTTGGACATTTCACAGATTCCAACATCTTCCATTTGCCCAGTGCTAAAGAGAGAATCAGTTTATTTTGCTGGTTCTTGCTTACTTTAAATTTTTGTTGTTTGTTATTTAGCAGGAGTGACACCCAGAGTGTTGGGAAAACAGAAATGCAAGTACTGGGTTTCAGTAATGTCCCATTTCCTTTTCTGCCAGCATAGAGCTTTGGCTCTTCCTGGGTTTTTCACAAACCTGTTTCTAAGCCAACAGCAGGCAGCAAGAGCAATAAGAGAAGTTAACATGTGTGTCAGTGTCAGGGGCTTTCAACGAAATTAAATCGAAAGAGTTCATGTATTTACAACTTTATTTGAGAAGGCTGGACACAATGAGGCTCTGAAGATAATCTGAAGCCCTGGCATCATGGAGCTGTCTGACTATTATAAAATAGAAGAGGACATGTGGGTGGAAAGAAGTCTTTTTTAAAAGCCTGAAGATGCCTTTCTGTTACGTTTTGTTACAATATCTCAGATCACAGAATAGAACAGATCTGAAATGTTATAACAAAACCTAACATGAAGGCAGGCAGGCAATTATTTTAAAGTTGTTTTCTGACTAATTTCTTCACTGACTCACAGGTCATACAACAGCATTCTTTGCTTTAAGAAGGTTTTTGATTTTCTTTTTCATTTCTTCAGCTACACATTGGTCATTCAGTAGCATGAATTAACTTCACAGCAATGTAAATTTTCTATTTTTATTTCTGTTGCTGATTTTGTTTTAAGGGTTTTCATTTAAGGGGATTATAGTAACTATGTAATAGAGACGATCATATCCAGATGTGAAGATACAATGCAGTATGCATCTATTTCCAGATCAAAGATGGACTTCCAATGAAACTATTAAATATCTTTTGACAATAAGATGCGGGACTGTCTGCCATTGTCCATACCTACACTGTCAGGATACACTTAAATAGTAGAATGATGCACTTATGACTGTTTATGAAGAACTATATTATTGTAATAATATAGTGGAAATCAGTGAGGGGAGGGAATTTAGGAAGGAGGGAAGGGAAATCCCAGAGCCTATGGAATTAAATCATAAAATAATAAATAGATAAATAAGCTAATTATTTTAGAAGATGCTTTTTAAGGTGAGAAAACTCAACTTGGGAGTGTGTGCACAAGATCAATGGTGTTCACAACTTAAGTTATGTCACCCAGATTTTAGTGAAGCCTGGTCACAGGGAGGATAGCATCTGTTTGAATGGCACACACAGAAACATGGATGAAGACACACAGAGAGCTCTAACATGTTGGTTCACAAAACAGATGCCTGCAACAGCTAGGGCTGGGCCAGGTCAAATCTCAGACCTGTGAACTTAATCTAGGTCATCCACACGGATGGCAGGGACTCAGCTACCGTCTCCTAGGAAGGAGATGGGAATGGAGCCAGGACATTCCAGCAGAGGAGGTGGGAATTGGGAATGGAGCCAGGACTCAAACTCAGGCACTTCAATTTGGTATGCAGGTGGTGGGGTGGCATCTGGATCACTATGCCAAACACTTGCCCCTGAGACAGTTTTATGATGCCAATAAGAGAAGCCCATCATTAATCAACATTCAGAACATTCTGCTTTGGGCAAAAACTGGAGCAACACACAGTTCATGGAAAGCATAACATGCAGCTCATGGCGAGAATGTGTACTTAAAAACTGCAACTGGCTCTCCACTCTGTCTAGATCAGCCACATTTCTCTTTGGCAGCTTCCCTTTGACACAGTCTATGGGTTATGCAATTCATACTGAGACCATTTGACAGTCTGTTTTCCACTTTTTCCCAGTTTTTCTGTTGCTCATTGCACACTTGTGGACTCATCCATATCAAAGCCTTGTGAAGGCTGCTCCCAAGATGACGCGTAAGAACTCCCAGGAGACTTCAGCACAGGTCAGGGAAGCCATGCACATGGACTCTGGGGACATCTTCTAAGACCTGGCCCTCTGTGCTGCTCTATGGGGAGGTACAGCCTAGCAGATGTATCTTAATTATTGGTGTCACTTAATTATTGATGACATTTTCCTAAAACCTTTATTTTTTTTGATTCATTACATGCTATGTTCTTTTCACATTTACCAAATTGACAGTTACCTGGCAGCAATTCCTCCTTGCCGCAGATTGGATACCCTTGGCTTGCCATCTTTATCAATTCCTCCCGACACTGTTAGCCCCAGGGTTGTGCCTTCTTTCTTCATTAGTTCAACGATGGTGGAGCCCTTGAATTCCTCTGTTAAAAGAAAAGCATTTGCCTCATTAAATGAGAGCAGAACCACTGAAGTTGTTCCAGGTGAGGCGACTTCTCCCCACAGCCTCCCCATGTTCACACTTTGTATGACAAAGTCCTGTGGCCTCCTTCCATCTACGGTTTTCAGAAGATCTCAGAAAGGGCATGCAGATAAAGCTCAGCATGTATTCCGTGAGGAATTATTAAAACAGGTGCCTCCAGGGTTACATTCCTTTTGGCTGACAATGAGCAGCCTGCATTGTCTATATAGAAGTGATAATTATACCTTTTTTTCCCCTGCTGTTTTCAAATGACTTTCACTGGTTTCTCTGGTGGTAACTCCAAAGGAAACAACAGGAAGTTGTAAGCACTTGGAATTTAGAATAAGAATCCAAGTGCACACATTTTAGCAATAGCAGCCTAGGAACTCAACTGACAAACAGCTTTTTAGGGGTTCAAGAAAAATATACTGATGCTACTGTCTTTCAATAGCAGAGTGCAGTGACTTCAACAACAACTCAAGGCATTTCTTGTACAGTGTATCACAGTATGGCAAGGCACATCTGGTTCTCATAATTTCTGAGTAACTGCTGGAAATCTCTTATCACCATCATCATCCCTTGTCATCACAATGATGGCATCCTATATTGGAGTGTCTGGTTTGAATCCAGCTAATTTACAGAACAAAAATACACCTTGTACATCCTCTAGGAAACACAGGCTCTTCTGAGAGTTGAAGAGATTGACTTAACAACCTCTGTAAATCCCTGTTCACATAAGATTAAGTATAAATTATTAAAAAGCAAAACTAATAATTCAAGAAACCAAGAGTATAGAGTAGAAAGTGACTGTTCACATTGCAGAGATGTAACATGACCACCCAAAAATTATACGTTTTTTAAATATACACTGTCATTCTTTACTCATTTATAGGACATCAAGAATTAGAAGTGTTTTTTTTTTTAAAGCAATTGTCTCAGGTCGATCAGAAATAGTAATAATACCAGTCAAGTGAAAAGTAATTGTTAGTTCACAGGAGTGTTATTCCTATGCAGGCTTCCAGAATAAAATTTCATACCATCGTGTAGGGAGCAAAGCAGTACATTTTCTCTACAAGGAACTCAGTCTTTCCTGGCTTCCAGTTGAATCCTGAAAATCTAGGAAAGCTCAATTCCTTCAGCTTAATTTGATCTCTATAAAAATAGGAATGGACTGATCTACCTTTAAACTGACAACATTCAATTACCTTTTCATTAAAAAACATGTCATATGCTTTCCTAAGAGCTGCTTTTAGCAATGTGAACAAAATATTTATAAAGCAGCTAACTGAATTATGAAATCATTGATTCAAGAACTCACTGTCCACTATGACTCAAACCAGGGAACTCAACATTAGACAAGTCATGGCCATGTCACAGTCCACTACGCCACGGGATTGTCTGTGAGAAAGACAGCCACAGATAATACCATCTTGGGATCACCAGGAACTCAAAGGTCCAGGTTCCAACATCAACATCATTTTTACCATTTTGTCTTTGTCCAATCTGCTCTTCATAACTATCAATCAGGATGAGCTAAGCAGAACAGATCAAAGAAGGAATACAAATTAGTCAAATCACAGGAGTAAAGATGGAAAGCTGTTGCAAGAAAATGCTGGGAATGGTAAGTATGTTAACTAGCAATAAATATCTCTTGTCCCTAAAGACTTGACTAAATCTGTCCTAGGTGTTTTCTGAACTAGAGAAACAGCATGAAGATGGAAGAGTCAGCTACTGAAGCCTACTCTCTGCTACCCTGCCTGCTCCACTCAACCAATCAATCATGTTATGTCTTTCTTGGTGTTTAATGCTTGCATAATGATCTAACGACAAAGAGAAATAAAGACAGATGCATTCATTTGCATCAGATGACTTATACATCAAGGCTCACTAAACAGACTCTGCAGAAAAACTCTGCAACATGGGCAAGTCAGTATGTATGGATAATTTCTTCTAGGATTTAAATTTCAAATATCCTACCCCAAATAAAGAGGACCTTGTAACTAACATTCTTGTCTCTCCAAATTAGCAAACAGCACGGGGAACAGATGATAATCAACTGTAAAGGAAATAGATTGTTCTGGATTTAACATTGTCCTTAATCATTTAATTATAGAAAAGAAACTGCAGGTTTACATCTGAACCACAACAAATATCACATATATAGAATGGAATTTAGTTTGTAATTCTATCTTTTAAATCACTGAACCCCAGAATGTTTTAAGAAAAGAAACATCAATGGTTAGCAAAAATAAGAGAATTACAAAAATCCTTAAGAAGAATTGAGAACATTTGAGAATGTAGATGGTTACCAAATTAATATGCAGAAAACCATATCCTCTATATACACAGATCGCCAGTGAGTTAGAAGTTACAGCAGAAGAGCTTACAAGAGCCCACACGTAAAATTCCTACTAAAAAAAATTAAATATGCACTATCTCTACCAGGAAAATGTTAAAGCACTTTTGAGAGAGAAAAGATCAGAAAAAACGAAGCAGCATCTCAATCACTCCCTCCTTCTGTAAAACCTGAGCCCTCACTGTGTGAAAGGCTGTGTGTTAACTGCCAATGAGGCGAGCCCTGTGAATAAAGTGTATAGAATCTGTGCCATCTGTTTCACTGGACAGCATAACCCAACCTCAAGAGAGGTCAGTTATTTCTATATGAGTCTAAAAGTTATCAATATTAATCAAAGTGCCTAAAGAGTCTTTTTTGGCACACAATATATATTATATTATTTTTTAAAAATGCACACATATTAAAATTAAAATTGTGCAAGAAATTGTTTCCAGGGTGGATTTGCTAGCTGTCACATAGTACCAAAACAATGCAAGCCTTTCCAGGAAGCCTCCTAGAAAGACGTGACACCACCAGGCATTCTTCTCTCCCTGGAGAAACTATAGGAAAACCAGACATTCAGAAGCAAGGACCTGGATAACAGGGATGGGAAAACTAGTGTTTTCACACCCCTCAAGCTCCACCCCACAGAATCAGAGTCTGGATCTGCCTGGACAGGCAAAGTAAACAGATTAAAACAATAAAATATCATAGACACAGGGCATTACAAGCCCACAGCAGGCTGACCTTGACACCTTCCTTCCTCCCTCATCCTTCCTCCCTCCCTTTCTTCCTTCATTCCTTTCTTCTTTCCATCCATCCTCCCTCCCTCCCTTCCTTTTTCTTTGTTTCTTTGGTAACATTATTCTGTACAGATTAAAGGTACAGAATGATAAGCTTATTTTGCTATCTAAAGTCCTTGATGGCTGGAAATTCTCATCTCATTTCTTATTATAAAAGTATCATTAGGCCTTATAGCAGTGAGAAAGAGTTAGTCCTAATTTTTGGCAACCTCTGGAATTCAGGAGCTGAAGTGTTCCAGGGAAAGCTGGGTTGTAAATGGAACAGATGGGACTGGAACTTGCACTCCAATATGGATGCTGGTAGTGCAACCAGTGGCTTAATCTATGCCATAATGCCAGCCTTTAAACTTATAGTTTTGAGATAATCATTGATTCACATGCTAAAATAATAGAGATCCCTTGTAGCTCTTAACTTGTTTCCCTAAAATGCTAACATCTTGCTAAACTATCATGCAGCATCACAACTGGAATACCTATCATTTCTATCGCCACAAGGCTCACTCATGTTCTTATTTTATAGTTTTATCATTTCAGGATTGTTAAGTAAATGAACCAATGTAGTGTGAAGCCCCTGATGTTGGCTCTCTACACATAGCATTATTCTCTGGTAATGCATCAAATGGTTACTTGTAGCAATAGATCATTCTTTCTACTGCTGGGTAGCATTTCATGGTATAGGTACACCACGAAAATGGGTTTGGGTTTTTGCTGTTTGTGGTGTTAGTGGTTTTCTTTCAAAACTCTCCAGGTGGTTCAAGGTAGGCAAGGTAGCAAGATGCTGATTTAGGATCTGGTGCATGAGGACAATGTGACAGAGAAGGGACCAGCAAGCAAGCAGAAATTAGATCACGAGGAATCCTATGAAAAGAACTGTGATTTGAACTTCAGAGGAAGTTGGCTTTTGTCCATGAGATGCAATAATTTTGGTAGTGATCACATGAAAAAAAAAAAAAAGAAAACCATTAGATTCAAGTCAAGGAAAAATTACCAGAAGGTCATTGCAGCTATACTCTGTATAAAGTATGAATTAAATTAGGGTATGCTGTGTCAATAATCTGAAAATGAATAATGGCTCTAATACAACAGGAATTCATCCAACAGAAATTCATTCTTCTCACATCGAAGTCTCAGGTGGGTGCTGCTGTTTAGCAGTCAAGTTACTTGTACAAGGAGTTTATTGTGCTCTTTGCTATTGTTATTCTATAATTTCCCAGGACTCTGGTTCCCATACCATGCACAGCGTTACCTAAGATCTCATGTTAAATCCACACGACCTCTGTGGGTTATTATAAAATTTCAAAGGAAACATGGCCGTACTTGACATCTGTTGTGCTCATCTACTATCCTAGGATAATCCAGTCAAACAATAGCTCACCCTACACTGCTGTCTTTTCTTCCAAAGCTGGTTTTATGATAGTTGTTACATTTAAGAAAAAGTAACAGGTAAAAATCAATGTGGAACAGGAAACGATGTTGCCAATGTTTGATGTTATTTGAAGGTTTGAGACGCTGCTTAGTGTCCAAGAAGCACATATCATTGGTAGGTGCTGGTGGCTATTAGGGTTTAAATAAACAGATTCCACTCTTTCTCTTTATACTTCTTAAAATGGTTAACGAGTTGTTAGGATAATATGCATCATGTTATTGAGGTCTCACTACTTAAGATTGAACTACCCGGGAAAGCAGTCGAGGACCCTGCACCTGCGTGGGAAACCCGGAAGAGGCTCCTGGCTTCGGATCGGCATAGCATCAGCCGTTGCGCTCACTTGGGGAGTGAATCATCGGATGGAAGATCTTCCTCTCTGTCTCTCCTCTCTGTATATC